CGATGATCGGTACCGTAGCGGGCTGTGCTAGCGCCCTCCCGGTGCTCTCTGGGATTATTGCACTTGCAGTCCCCCGCTGTCCCGAAAGGGCGTTGCGGCCACTCTGTGCTTCGGCATGGTTTGGTGAGAGTGCTGTGAGCCGGGGAAGTGGTTTACCACCAACCGGGGCACAGTAAATCTCTGGTGCATTGCAACCGTTCGACACCATTCTCGGAAATCGTTCCGCCTTGCCTTCGACATTGTATTACTCTCAGTTGCCCTTTAACTGTGCGACATATATTTCTGTACTGTTCTCTAATAAACTTGTCCTCTTTAACCCTTGCAGGTCTTTAGCAAGCGCATTATACACTGCCATCTGAACACCGAACGCTAGCTATTCTTTTGGTAGTGCAAACTACGGCCGAAGCGGCGAGGTGGCAACCGAGCCTTCCCTGTGGGATTTATTTCCCTTGGTGTATTTACACTCCAGGGAGGGTGAGGGGCTCATCGCTTTCGACATGGTGCTGTCGGTCCGCGTGATCACCGGGTCCACTATACTTGCTTTTAGCCTGCTCGTAATGAAGAAACAGACATCGCAGATGTGTGCCGCCGAGACATCGTTTTCCTCGACAAACTGCCGGCCAGCGGTCTCTTCAAAATGGATGGACACCGACACTCAAGCTCGTGGCCACGGGCAACTTTCCTTCTTGCGGTAGCGTGTTGAACACTGCGTGGATTGCCATGGGTTCACTGAGTGCCCATGAGAAGGTTGCGGCCTCTCGCCCAACTCTTCTGAGAAGCCAGGACGCGACAACTCGAACCTACGGATGCGAAGCCCCCGATAGCGAGACGCCGGAGCAGGCAACGACGCGTGTGGGAATCGATTGTCAAGGAATGGTGGAAGGTCGAATGTCGTCCAGAAGTGGAGAAGTGCGAGGAAAATGGTTTCTGGTTACAGAAAAAAGGTAATTTGGTTTAGTATTTTGTTTTTTGCAGGATGGCTGCGTGTTTTTCGTGAGGGTGTGCGATGGTGCACAAGCCAGTGGTTTGCTGCGTGTTCTGGCGACGGGGACCCCCACTTTCACTTGCCTTGCGACACTTTTTGCCAGCCAATCGACACTCGTGCCCGCGACACCCAAGGGAGATGCGGCCTCAAGCGTGCAAGCAGCCTCCAACACTCGCAGCGTGCCACAATGGGTCAAGATGCGTTCAACTGCGTTCAATTCCATCAAGATCGCCTTCAATATGGTTATCAAGCTCGTCCTGCCCTGGTTTGCTGTGCGACACCCTGCTTTACATGCTCCGACACTGCTATTTCGAGGTATTTTTCGCTTCGACAGCCTTGAGAAAGCTGCTCGTGCACGCGGAAATGCTGGCCAACATCTGCTGCACATACGCCTACACTTTGCCAATGGTTCAACTACAACTTCCTGGTGTATGCTGCCCTTTTCTCATCGTTCGGGCCCCAATCGCGACAAGAAACACGTTTACAAGACGCTCGACACTCGATGGATGTGTATTTTTATTCCTCTTCAAGGCGATTTTACTTTCAGTTCATTCGTCTCAAGTTTCTACACCACTTCATCGTCGACAAAACGTTTTCAACGACATCACGTGCTGCGCAATGTGTCAAGAACGCCTACAACGCGCAATGGAAGCAAGAAGAAGCGACAATCGGCGCCCAACAGTTCAAGGATTGACTTTGCTATTCGATGGATCGACTACCGTATCCAGCCGGGCTGCTGCGCAAGGAGCGAAATCATTTTGCCAGTCATTTTTGAAAATTTTCATCCCATCTTCGCGATTGTCATTTCGCCATTGCTCCAATTCGACATTTTTCGCTCCCGCGTTCCTTCGACACTCGTTTTTCTTTTTCGCGACACCCTGGGTTACTTTGGAAATTTATTTCCTTAGTTTTCCGACCCGACACCGGCCTCGGCCACCCTGCCTTACGACACCGGCCTCGGCCACCCTGCCTTTCGACACTCGCAACTTGCCGCTCGAGATTCGCCGGTTTGGAGAAGAAATGCTGCTGAAGAAAGAAGTTCGACTGAGTCACTGATGAACAAGCTCTCAACATCGCGCAATGTAAGGAATGGATAGCTGTCGACGAAGCTCCAGCGTTTCCACAACGACATGCCGATGTTTCAACGCTCTCCACTTCTGCGGATCGATTGTGGATTTGCAAAAGTAAGGTTCTTTTTGGGATTTTGAGAGCGCCTTCTTACGATTCGTCGTTATAGTTGGCCAGAACGATTCGAAATTTTGAAATTTCGTTTGTTAGCTCGAAAAACGTTCTAAGGTCTAGACCGCGAACTAATTTTCGAGTAAGCTACGCTTTTTCATATTTCGTCTTGTTTTCTCAAGGTTTTGACTTGAACCGTTGCTTTTCATTTCTCGCGACATTTTGTATTACAATCCAGAGTTTATCTCTATTTTGTAAAGCCTTTCGACATCGGGTTGCTGGCGACACATGCTTCTTCAACGACACTTGCTGCTCGAAGCGCGCCCACCACTGCCTGTTCGCCACTCGTCCAGCAGCCACTGCAAGGCCGGGTCGACACGCCGCTCTCCGGCGCCCTCTTCAAGCCTGCCAAGAAGTCGTGCTGTTTCCTGCACCCACCCGGCGTCCGCAAGTTTTCGACATCGCTGTGCTATTCAACGGAAGTCTACGTCCATGGATTTGCACACATCGTTGGAGAAGATTTGCGACACCACCTTCGACACTTTCGAACTACTTGCACTTGTGCAATAGTTTGATACCCGACACCTCGTTCGCTGCTTTTGGGCAACGTTTCGAAAGATAGACACCAATCGTGCTGCACTCGCCGTGCCGCGTTCAACAAGGCGCATCCACCACCACAAGGAGCGGCGCCAAACTTTCTCAAGTTGGGCCGCCGCGAGCAACAACCGTTTCGGTGGCCTTCAATGCGACAACATGTTGTTCTGCCCGTTCACCACAATGTTCAGCGGCCTCGTTCCCTACGATGTGCGCCACTGGACTACGACAAGGTCGGCAACCATCGACAAACGCGTGCGCCTTATTTCGTCAATGGGCCACGACATCTTCACTACAGCGGCCGCTAACTTTCAACGGCCTCTACACCGCCAAGCTGCTCTTCCACTTGTCCTGTGCATCAACATGGTCAAGCATCGCCTCGTCCGCATCATCCACCACTGCGACGCCGTCTATTTTTTTCGACACCGCCCCTTTTCGGCGTGCGACAACCTGTGTAGTAGGAGGTTTCGTGAGAGGATCCTCCTGCTTTCACGCCGCGACACTGGCTTTTCCTGCCACCCTCCTCGACACTTGGTCCTTCGGAACCGTTGGCCAGCCTCAAGCTCCACGCTCTCCGGTGCAAGCTCGTCACTCTACGCAAGCTCGTCATCGCCATCAAGCGTGCAAGCTGTCGTCACTGGGACAACTACACTGGCGCCTTCCACCAAGTCAAGCTGCAACCAAGAATCCGATAAGTCCTTTCTCTTTAGTTGGTTCGGCAAGAGTACGGGCTCTTTAGCGCCGACCAACTCCCTTTTTTATTGTCAGATGCCCCACCCCTAGTCTAACCTATTCATTTTGGGCCCTCCCGTTCCCCCAGTACAAACTATATCCGTCTGTTATTGGTCCCTCTGTTCCCCACCATTTCCCCCCTGGCCGGGCGGTCGTTTTCTCAAATTTGGGCCGCCGCGAGGCTCCCACTCAACCTCCTACTACACTAGCCACGCTCTCCGGGGCGGCACTTTCGGCTCAGCGCGGGCCGGGAGTGTCGAAACTTTCCTGGTGAATTTCATTCCCCAGGAGTTTCGAGGATTTTTGTATGGGCGCCAAAGGTTGGCAAACTGCCAAAGGTCCCACCGCGATGATCGGTACCGTAGCGGGCTGTGCTAGCGCCCTCCCGGTGCTCTCTGGGATTATTGCACTTGCAGTCCCCCGCTGTCCCGAAAGGGCGTTGCGGCCACTCTGTGCTTCGGCATGGTTTGGTGAGAGTGCTGTGAGCCGGGGAAGTGGTTTACCACCAACCGGGGCACAGTAAATCTCTGGTGCATTGCAACCGTTCGACACCATTCTCGGAAATCGTTCCGCCTTGCCTTCGACATTGTATTACTCTCAGTTGCCCTTTAACTGTGCGACATATATTTCTGTACTGTTCTCTAATAAACTTGTCCTCTTTAACCCTTGCAGGTCTTTAGCAAGCGCATTATACACTGCCATCTGAACACCGAACGCTAGCTATTCTTTTGGTAGTGCAAACTACGGCCGAAGCGGCGAGGTGGCAACCGAGCCTTCCCTGTGGGATTTATTTCCCTTGGTGTATTTACACTCCAGGGAGGGTGAGGGGCTCATCGCTTTCGACAGATAGGGTCCAAAACCTGTTTTTTCTATGTCCTCCTGGGAAGTCACGTTTAATAATCGTTTTTGCCTAGCTTTCTCTCTCTCTCTCTCTCTCTCTCTCTCTCTCGCTCGCTCGCTCTCTCTCCCTATCTCTCTTGCTCTTCCTCTCTCCCTATCTCTATCTCCTTTGCTGCCCCTATCTCGTCCTCTACCGCCCTCGCTCTCTCTCGCTCGCCCTCTCTCCCTATCTCTCTCTCACTCTTCCTCTCTCCCTTACTATGTCTCCTTCGCTGCCTCTATCTCGCCCTCCCCCTGTCTCTCTCTCTCTCTCTCTCTCTCTCTCTCTCTCTCTCTCTCTCTCTCTCTTTCCCGCGCTGGCTATCACTCTCTCTCTCGCTCCCCCTATCTCGCCTTCTCCCTCTCTCCCTATCTCTCTGTCTCTCTCACTCTCTCTCACTCTCTCTCGCTCTCTCTCGCGCGCGCTCTCTCTTTGTACCTATATTTCTTTCTCACACCCTACCTATACTTCTCTCTTTGTCTGTCTCTCTCGTCTACCTCCCAATCTACTCTCACTCGACAATAGTTTTTCCACGTTTATTCCCGAAGATAATGAAACAGAGCTTCCACAAGTATATCACAAACAAAGGTAAACAGTTCAACACCGTTTGTCTTGGCCGTTGTCCTCCTATTCGTCGCACTCGTCCTTCTCATCCTCCTCCTCCTTCTTATCGTGGTCCTTCTTTTCCACTTCCTTGATGCGCTCTCCCATCTTCTCGATCTCCTTCCCCTCCTGCGCCTCCACATGCTCCGTTTCCACCTCCGCCGGCTTCTTGAACGTCTTGGAGTCGTCGTTCTGACATGTAGTGGTTTTTAGGTGATCTCTGAATTTTGCGATATGACATCACTCATTTGATAGAGCTTGAAATCCTAAACAAATCCCATCTTTCAAAAACTGCTGAACGACTACCATTTTTTAGAAAATTGTGTCTGAAAGGGTCGAGTTTGGGCATTTTGGTCGTCGCGTAACAAAATACGCACTTTGAGAAAGTTATCCTCTAAAACCGTTGTCATTCAGCAGTTTTCGAAATTCAGAATTTGTTCAGAACCTGTTCAGAATTTGAAGCCATATCAAATAGCTCGGTAATCACATCTCAAAACGCCAAGCTCGCCTAAAAAGCGCTCCTTGTGATTTTCCCTTAGAGTCCCCTCTCTCACCGCCAACTGCCCGGCGGCCGGCTTCTTCTTGAAGACACCGACGAGCTTCTGCAGCATGGACTTCTTCGGTGGCTGCTGCGTCTTCACCGCCTCGTCCGATGTGTCGGACTTCGAATCCGAGTTGGACTTGCTCGTCTCCTAGAAAAGGTACTGGACTGTTAGGTGCGATTTGATTTAGATAGATGTTGAATTCTTTGAAGTCTTTAGCAATCTAAAGCCACTAAAATTTCGTGGCGAAAGAACGTAAAATCGTAATGCCCTGTAAGGCACCCAATCTCGGTTAGTTGCAATGACCAGGAATAAGGAAAGAGGGAGAGAGAGAGAGAGAGAGAGAGAGAGAGAGAGAGAGAGAGAGAGAGAGGGGAGAGAGAGGGAGAGAGAGAGAGCAAGAGAGATAGAGCGCGTGTACGGGAGAGACAAAGTGAGAGGGCAGGGGAGCTAGATAGAGAGCGAATGAGAGTGAGCGAGAGACAGAGATCTAGGAGTGCGACCTTTTTCAACTTAAAGATTACGATTATTAAAACAAATAACGCAAAAATCGATTTGGAATCCAAGGTGTCCCAATAATAAAATACCCCCGCTCTAACTCGATGCAGAAGTATTGGATCGGACTGATACGGACCGTTCCGATTCGATAATTCCGCGTCGAGTTAGAGGCGATGTTTTTTATTAGGTCACCTTGTATTTGCCTGAATGAAAACCGGGGTTTGTTGTATGCAGATCGGATTTCAGCATGATGCTGGTGGTCCTGAATATCTCCGACATGGTTGACCTCCTCGTCAAGGTCGGTGAACTATTCCCGGCCCGGGTCAGAACACGCTACGAGCAAAAGTGAGTTACTTGGGCCTTTATCCCGACTCAAAGGGCATAGGATGGTCGATCCTCAAACGAGATTCAACGCCAAAATTAGCATGAATCGCTCCGTCACTCCCTCTCTCTCTCTCTCGCTTACCCTCTCTCTCTCCCCTCTCCCGCTCTCTCTCTCTCCCTCTTTCCTTATTCCTGGTCATTGCAACTAACCGAGATTGGGTGCCTTACAGGGCATTACGATTTTACGTTCTTTCGCCACGAAATCAATATTGTTTTGCTTCTCGGCAGTAGCCGTTTCGTTTTTGACCAGTGATTTCCATCCCCGCACGCGTGAATTTTGACTTCCGAGTCCCTTTAAGTCGGTAAACTACTGGAGCTAGCGGCAATAAGTCAGGATTGTTGTGATAGCAAAAATTTAAACGAGCGTCGGAATCAACGAAAAAATAAGACGCTAGGATAGACTGGATCCCAGCCAGAAACGCCGATATCACTCAACATAATTTCCTTGTTAGATTAGGCAGCACATCCCCTGGCACAAACGAACATTAAAGAACAGTTTCAGACTACGTGATGGTCTTGCGACAATTCGAAGCCATCTTCAATACGCCGGCGGCAGGCGGATCTGAATTTATTTTGTACAAAGCGCGCGATGCAAGGAAGCACAATTTTAATATTAGTCTTTTTTCTGTAACCAGAAACCATTTTCCTCGCACTTCTCCACTTCTGGACGACATTCGACCTTCCACCATTCCTTGACAATCGATTCCCACACGCGTCGTTGCCTGCTCCGGCGTCTCGCTATCGGGGGCTTCGCATCCGTAGGTTCGAGTTGTCGCGTCCTGGCTTCTCAGAAGAGTTGGGCGAGAGGCCGCAACCTTCTCATGGGCACTCAGTGAACCCATGGCAATCCACGCAGTGTTCAACACGCTACCGCAAGAAGGAAAGTTGCCCGTGGCCACGAGCTTGAGTGTCGGTGTCCATCCATTTTGAAGAGACCGCTGGCCGGCAGTTTGTCGAGGAAAACGATGTCTCGGCGGCACACATCTGCGATGTCTGTTTCTTCATTACGAGCAGGCTAAAAGCAAGTATAGTGGACCCGGTGATCACGCGGACCGACAGCACCATGTCGAAAGCGATGAGCCCCTCACCCTCCCTGGAGTGTAAATACACCAAGGGAAATAAATCCCACAGGGAAGGCTCGGTTGCCACCTCGCCGCTTCGGCCGTAGTTTGCACTACCAAAAGAATAGCTAGCGTTCGGTGTTCAGATGGCAGTGTATAATGCGCTTGCTAAAGACCTGCAAGGGTTAAAGAGGACAAGTTTATTAGAGAACAGTACAGAAATATATGTCGCACAGTTAAAGGGCAACTGAGAGTAATACAATGTCGAAGGCAAGGCGGAACGATTTCCGAGAATGGTGTCGAACGGTTGCAATGCACCAGAGATTTACTGTGCCCCGGTTGGTGGTAAACCACTTCCCCGGCTCACAGCACTCTCACCAAACCATGCCGAAGCACAGAGTGGCCGCAACGCCCTTTCGGGACAGCGGGGGACTGCAAGTGCAATAATCCCAGAGAGCACCGGGAGGGCGCTAGCACAGCCCGCTACGGTACCGATCATCGCGGTGGGACCTTTGGCAGTTTGCCAACCTTTGGCGCCCATACAAAAATCCTCGAAACTCCTGGGGAATGAAATTCACCAGGAAAGTTTCGACACTATCGCTATTTTTTTCAAAATTGCTTGGGTACCATACTATAGAGCGTGAAAAAAATATATCAGGAGTTTTGTTCGCAGCAAAAAAAATGCAAAAAAAATGGATGCAAGGTGGCACACACACACACACACAGACACACAGACACTATTTTTTTTATATATAGTAGGATCTATGCAATCTGCATCAAAAATATGCGTTATTCTTGCATTTACGAGCCGATTTTGCATAAATTTCGCCAAAATGTGCCAGTTTTTTGCTGGAGCTTTTGGGAAACGATTACTCATGTAGCAGAAAATGATCAGGAAATCCGCCGAGGACAAGATATCTTGGTTGTAAGTATCGTGTAGCGCTTTAACTTACAAGGAGTGCTTTTTTTGAGTCATCGGCAAAAGCTTACGAGATTTAGCTCATTCGATAGAGAATTTGATTCTGAACAAAACCTTGTTGTTTGTTTTTGCAGAATGGCTATCACGGATTTTATAAAATTTTAAAACTGCGCCCAAAAGCCTCTCCTATGGCCCGAAAGGTACTGATGGTAAGAGACGGTCACCAGTATTTTAATTTTATAAAATCAGGGATAACCATTCTGCAAAAAGAACAACGGGGTTTTGTTCAGAATCGAATTCTCTATCGAATGAGCTAGATCTCGTAAGGTTTTGCAGATGACTCAAAAAAAAGCACTCCTTGTTAGCTTATACTTCAAGGTACGCTTCAAACCAGGCCCTAATCTAAGCCTGAGCACTACTTTGGCGGTCGTCGAACTCTATCTACGGGCTGCGGGAGGTCAGATTGCCAAAATGTAGAATAAAATGCAGTTTCGATCGATAAAACGGATGACTTCACATTCTTTTTACTCTTGATACGCAAGCGTTTTCTCCATACTCAGGCAAGTAACCGGCACTTTTTGGTGAAATTTATGCAAAATAAGCTCGTAAATGCAAGAATAACGCACCAAATTGCATAGTTCCTCATCCTACGATATATAAAAAAGTAGTGTCTGTGTGCGTGTGTGTGCCACTTTGCATGCAACTTCGGTCAGCGTGTCCCAGCAGTATCTCAGGAGGGAAAGTAGTTAAGGGTATGTTTGATACGTCATTAGGAGCGTAATGGCCTGTAGAGCACTGCACGCATATCAGATTTATGAAAATCGCCTATTTTCGACATTAAATTTTCGTTTTTGTTAAAAAATCCGAGACCCTCTTTGTTAGGAATATATTAGCATACGCCGGAAGTAGGGGTTGCCTATATAAAGGAGCAGAGAGCTCATTTTTCACTTTTTTCAGCATCGGTGGGGCCGAATTATGCAAAGTGCACACTTTCATAACGGGAAAAAATAATAAACTATATAATAATAATAATAATAATAATATATAAAAAAATAGTGTTTGTGTGTGTGTGCCACTTTGCATGCAACTTCCGTTAGCGTGTTCCAGTAGTATCTCAATAACGGGGTCAATTAGGAGCATGTATTATACGTCACTAGGTGCGTAATGGCCTTGGGATGACTGCACACTAATAAAATTTTCAAATTTACTGTTTTCGACGTTAAAATTAAGTTTTTGTTGAAAAATCCAGGACCCTCTTTGTTAGGAAACAATTAGCATGCGCCGGAAGTTGTGGTTGCCTATATAAGGGAAGAGAGGTGGCGTTTCTCATTTTTTGTCATCAAAAATCGCGAACATTATGCAAAGCGCAGAATATCATGGGATCAGACGGGGCCAGGGTTGAAAAGTCGCGAAGCGGCTTTTCAACCCTGGTATAATCCTACTATATATAAAAAAATAGTGTATGTGTGTGTGTGACACTTTGCATACACTTCCGTCAGTATGTCCGGAGGATAACTCAATAAGGAAGGGGTTTTAGGGCGTGTATGATACGTCTTTAGGTGCGGAATGGCCCTGAGATGACTGCACACCTATTAGAATCATAAAAATAAGCTATTTTCGACATTAAAATTACGGTTTTTGTTAAGTTTTCGACCAACCTCTTTGTTAGGAACGAATTAGCATATGCCGGAAGTAGAAAAAGCCTATATAAAGGGCTGGCACGAGAGTTTTTATTTTTCTCGGTTGATTGAGGCGGGATTATGCAAAGTTTACAATCTCATTGGGCCCAGACGGGGCCAGGGTTGAAAAGTCGCGAAACGGCTTTTCAACCCTGGTAATAAAATAATAAAAATAAATAAATAAAACGAGACCAGGGTTGAAAAGTCGCGTAGCGGTAATTAAATTAAAAATTAAAAGTATTTTCGCTATAACTTTAAAACTAGCCGACCGATCGCGATGAAACGTTCCATAAACAGGGGACAACAGAGGCTTCGCTACCTCTCTACAAATTTTCAGCTCCGTAGGTGCCCTCTGGATCAAATTTTGTTTTGGGGGGGCAGGGGAGGGGGGTGGCTCTTTTTTTGGGACTTTCGTCTTTCCGATGACGTTTCAGAATTTTGATAAAATACATGTTTACAAAGTTAAAGCCGGTTTTACTGATTCTGGGGCCCCCGAGGGCTAATTTGAATAATGCGGAAAAATACAAATTTCCTCAATCTTTCAGTTGCTCGCGCGGATTTGGTGGGGGGGTCCGGTCGGTCCGCAGGACCCGAGCTATCGGAAAGTCAAATTTCTCATGCAAAAGCCGCATTCCAGCGCCCAAGGCCCGCGAAGCGGGTTTTGGGCGCTGGTACTACTATAACTTCTGGTGATCATTTGGAAAAAATTTGGGGCAAAGATAAAACAAGAATCAGGATTTCCATCTGCCGCTCTACAATGTCCTGGACATTGAATATCTTACGTCCAATCTTCGCCATGGCATAGCTAGCAGATAAATTTTGGGAAACTTTGTCAGATCCTGTAAAATTCGAATTTTTAATCTGAATCGAAAATAAATGACACACTTTGTAGTTGCCGCCCTATGCATCCCGGCCGCTGCTACTCACTATTCATGGCCAACCACCAGGTTGGTTCTTTTCTCATTCAATGTGCGGCATGGCAATTGGCTACTTATTTAAATAGGGTGTGCATCCAACCACAGGATATCCCAAAATCTCAACCCCCGTAAGCGATTCGGAGACAGCTCGGATCGGGATGACCTTGGTCACCATAGGAAAACCCTTGCAACGGCGAGAAAAAAGCGCTTCTCGTTTCTCAGAATTTTTATTTCAGTTTTTCCAAACAAAAGTTAGTCAAAGTGCTTGTTTTCCCGCCGTTCCGGGAGC